TTATTAATAATAAAAATAATAAATATATTAATAAATTACATAAATTATTATTATTATTATTATCATCAATTATACATACTAGTCGTATTAGGGAATACTTAATATTAATATTATTAATTTATAATAATAATAATAATAATAAACATCACTAATAATATTATTGAAATGTTAATCATAAATATTGTTAATATTATTAAATGATTATGCATACATTAATATAAAAATGTATAACAATAATCATAATCATCATCATTAATAATGATCATCATTAATAATAATAATTTAATTATTTCTATAATTATATTTATAATTACTATATAATTTTTATAATTATTGTTTTTATTATCATCATTTAAATATGCAGAAACGCAAAAGAGAACTGATGGGAAATGCTTTATGATGTAGTTTTTGTGTTTTTGGAGCTTGATAGCAACCATTCTCACAGACTTGTATGGAAAAGAACAGTATTAATATTCCACACAGCCATATCAAACAAACCACACAACTAATTTCAAATCAGCTCACAACAATCCATCTGGTGTGTATCATTACAACGGTCTAAACATATGAGGCGTCACATTTTTAAATACGTAAGTTCATTATACAAGTTCGCAACAGCAGCCTTCCTTCAAAAGAGTTAATAATCCTCTTCTAACTGCAGACAAGGCTCATTTAATTTTAATGCAGATGCTAAGACCAAAGTGTCCCATGAAAGATCTCCACAGTCTGACAGCATGCTTTAACCTGGAAGCGTTTATTACAGCTGCAAGGAGGTGCTGGAGAGATTGAGTGAGTTAAGTGCCTTGTAAATGGGGGAATCTACAGAATGGCTGAGAGAGACGTTCTTATCTCTGTCACATGGGGAGTTTGGTGTTAGCGTGCTCCGTTTGGAGGATTAGCATAACGCTACAGAGCTGAGGCTGGTTTTAATTCAATGTTTTTTTCCTCTTTGCCTTGTCTTCTCAGATTCTTATTCACCCTTTCTTTCCTTTTCTCTCTTCCCCTCTCCGAACGCACAGCTCGCTAAGATCCTCCTTTATTAAGAGGCCATCGCTAACCCAACCCAAAAAGCCCAGAGGGGCCTATGCAAAATCCTCTGCTTTTCCCGCTTGTTCCTGAGCTCTCTCTTTTGATGGTTTTTCTTTTTCATTTTTTTTTCTTCTTTTTTTGTGTTACGCTAGAGGCAGAAATCAACTTGAACACTTTTTTTCCTCCTTTTCTTTGCTGTTTCACAGTAGCTTTTGCCCTGGAAATGGAGAGAAGGAGGCAAAAGGACAAAAAATGGCCAACAATCAACTGTTCAGGCTTTGTATTTTCCCTCATCTATCATGGTAGAGCTGTGACCAATGCCAGGTGGTTCGGTACTCATTTTTTTAATGTCTGGGTTGCCGTGGTGAGAGCAGTAAGCCGTGTAATTGGTCAGATGGTCGCCCCTTCGGTCAGGCACATTTTATTTGTGCGCCCTGTTACCACAGCAATCACTGATCCCTAACCACAGGACACATTACAGCGGACACTCAACGCTATAAGAGAAGGAGAGCAGGAGAGACCATTACAAAAAGAAGCATGGTGCTACCATAAATACCATGTTTTTGGGACACTTTCATGGTGGTACCAGTCATATTCTATGCAGTAAATTAAGGTACCGTTTAAATATAATGGTACATTAATATGGTAACAAATAAAAGTATACATTTGATATTAAGATGTTGTTTGTTTGTCATTAATACACAATGAATTTTGTGTGTGTGTGTGTGTGTGTAAATGAAATAAATATACACTACGTTTCAAAAGTTTAGGGTTGGGATGATTTTTTTTTATGTTTCTGAGAAGTCACCAAGGCTCCATTTATTTGATGAAAAATACAGTAAAAACTGTAATACCGTGAAATATTATCACAACTTAAAAGAACTGATTTCCATTTTAATAGAGTTTAAAATGTAATTTATTCCTGTGATGCAAAGCTACATTTTCAGCATCATTTCTCTAGTCACATGATCCTTCAGAAATCATTCTAATATGCTGATTTGGTGCCCAAGTTCTTATTATTATAAATTGAAAACTGTTGTGCTTCTGAAGATGTTTGTGGGAACTGTGACAAATTTGTTTTCAGGATTCATTGATGTTGAAAAGTTGAAAAGAACAGCGTTTGTTTGAAATGGAAATCTTTTGTAACATTATAAATGTGACCCTGGAGCACAAAAGCAGTCTTAAGTCGCTGGGGTATATTTGTAGCAATAGCCAAAAATACACCGTATGGGTCAAAATTATCGATTTTTCTTTTATGCCAAAAATCATTAGGATATTAAGTAAAGATCATGTTCCATGAAGATATTTTGTACATTTCCTACCGTATACATCAAAACTGATTTTTTGATTAGTAATATGCATTGCTTAGAACATCATTTGAACAACTTTAAAGGCAATTTTCGACTCTTATGACTGGTTTTGTGGTCCTGGGTCACAAATGTCTTTACTGTCACTTTTCACCAATTTAATACATTCTTGCTGAATAATAGTATTAATTTCTATTAAAAGCTTACTTTTTTATGTATAGAAGCATATATAAATGAGTTTTTGCACAGCATTTTGTCTTCTACAGAAATTGCAGATGTATCTACATTATTGTAAATGTATCTGTCTTCACTTTAATTGAGATCCTCATCGTTTTTAAAGTGATAAATATGGCTATGATTTCAGAAAGCATACAATAAAACTGCCCTCTAAATATCTTCAATGTATTTATCTACTTTTTATACCTTTCAGTGCCTTGCAGTATGCTAAAAAGATTAGCTTGACTTGACTAGTTAAAGTAGTTTCCCCAAACATAAGCAACACAATGAAGTCTTTGAAGGAGGACAGCGATCCAACAAAAGCAAGCAGTATGTCACACTGCCAATATCTCATTAATACACGTGGAGTTGCGTACACAGCTACTGCTTAAGCTGTATCTGTTTTTACAAAGCAACAAAGAGATTAAAGGTAGGCATTTTTTTTCAAATGTTAAAATACTTTCTCCTATCCCAGTTTAAGGGATTAGCTCATCATTTACTCATCCTCATATCACCCCAAACTTGAGTTTCTTTCTGTGGAATGTAAAACATTTTTGAATAACGTACCTGTCGCTTTTTCCAAGCAATTACTGTACAATGTATGGAGAGCTTGTGGTGCAAAATGGACGTTGTGCACTATAAAAGTATCATAAAAGCAATCCATAAGACTCTGCACTATATTACCTGATGTGTTCCACTGAAGGGGAAAAAAAACTTGTTTGAACATCCAGACCAGCCTGACACACTAACATTGGCTCAATTAGTTTGATGTTGGACTACTGTGTCTGTTTATCCATGGCATATGAGGTGGTGTTTGGGGAGCTAGTAATTATATTTGTAACTCCATATACAAATCCATATACAAATCAAGGCATGGATAAGACAAAGAGAAATAGACATGAGAGAGATAGACAGAAGCCTTACAGAGAAAAAGAGAGATGAATAAAAGAGAATGATAATGTGTGAGAGAGATACTGACAAAGAGAGAAATAGAGAAATTAAACGCCAGAGCAAAAAGAGACACCAGAGGGACCTCAATCCACCGATCAATATTCACCAACAGGCTCTTGCTTTCAATACATTACCACTGAAACTCAATTAAGAGCTAGAATAAAAGTTACACTGCAGTAAAGCAACAGTAGCATATCCAGTGCTGTATTACATTTTGCATACAATATATATATATATATATAATAAAATGTTACACAGAAGAAAGAAAGTGAGGTTAAAAGAAGACTTCTTATTTCTGGGTGAACTACTCCATTAAGAAAAAGTTTTTATTTTTTTGCAGTATAATGATGATGATCTGATCTAATGATCTGTTCTTAATCGGTTTATAGGTTTGCTATCTGAAATCCCTCCAAGGTCACTTAATGAATACTGCATCGACGCCTCATTCACACTGTATAGTCAGACGTTCAATAATTGCGAGAGTAACTGACTGCTGTTGAGGAAAATCAACACAGAAGAATGATATACCCCTCGTGAAAGTCACATTATCTGTGTATCCCTCATGTATGAAATATATTACAAAGATCTGAGAGGATAAAATGAGCGCTGGAACACTGACAGCTCCTCTCTGATTGAAGATCTTTGGTTTATAACGTTCAATCCTACAGGGAGCGATTGATCCAATCAGCAGAGAGCTCTGTGTGCGAGTGTGTGTAGAAAAGAGACAGAAGGCAAGAGATCATCCGAGGTAAAGAGGCTTCACATTTCTATCACTATTAAGGGATTATATGATCCATCACGGGTGGTTAAGTGTCCATAATCCAGTCATCTATAGCTGCGCGTCAGTGTCTGTATGGCCTATAATCTTGATAACGGCAAAACTGAGGCGGTTTAATCTCAATACATGGTTGAAATCCCATACAGAAAATCTCATAACGCACACACACACGTACATACTGACTCCAATGCAATACACAGCATGTCCTTGCAATAATAACATTTCAAATGGCCCAGGGTGCAATGGGATCAAACAGACCTTCTTTAAGGCCTCAAATTGCATTTTTACTGCAGATGAAGATTACATTCTTGAGGCCTTTACAAGGATATGAGTTATAACATCTGTAAATACATAAATACAAAAGAGTTAATTTTATTAATTTAGTTGTAATTTAGCTAAATACCTATATTTTAGGAAAAATGTACACTGAAATGCCTAGTTCTTACATGAAACTCTAGATGGCGCAGGCTGATGGGTCTTAACGTAACTGATGATATTCACAGGTTTAACCGACTTGGCACAAGCTGATTGGTTCATGTTGCATACGCAGCTTGCTGCTTTACATTGAAATGGCTGATTAGCATCCACTTGAGCATTTTGTGGCACGCTTTCAGTTCCTCTGAAACCCTCCACCTTCCCCAGCTCCACCTGTATAGATCTGCTAGAAGTTATTTTATATGCTATTTGTGCAGCAGCAGTATGTCTTAAATACTCACAGCACCGTATCGCCGTATGCATCGGCAGTAGCAAGTTCCTGTACTTGCTTGTAGCAGCAGCAATAATCTACAACTACAGCAATAACCAACAGCAGCAGCAATTCAGCAGCAGCAGCAGCGTAGCAGATCTATTCCGCCAAGACCAAATACATTAACATTTTCATATCCATTTCCATGCTAAAATCTTCAGAGAATTGTCATGATAGAAAGAAACTAAATCTCCCAAAATGTTCCTTTGGAATGTTTCTATTTATGTTTATTTCTTTACTGATATGTCAATTAAATCCAACTGTTTTCAACATTGATAATACAAATGTTTCTTGAGCACCAAATCAATCAAATCAATGATTTCTCAGGGCTCACAGGAATAAATTGCATTTTAAAATAATTTAAAATAAATAATTTAAAATACATAAATTACATTTTAAATGAAAAAAGATATATTAAATTGTAAAAATATTTTACAATATTATGGTTTACTGTATTTTTGATTAAATGTTGAACAAATAAAATAAAATGCCAATCCCAAACTTTTGAACAGTAGTGTATGTATGGAAGTAGTAAAAAAACAGAAGACAAATTTATTACTAAGTAAAATAAATTACAGATTAAAATGCTTAAAGGTGCACTAAGCATTTTTGAAAAACGCTTTTGACCAACAGCGTCGGACCGAGTCCCAGAACACACTTGTAGCCAATCAGCAGTAAGGGGGCGTGTCTTGCAATGATAGAGAGAAGAGAGTGCTAAATTTGAGTGCACAGGACGGATATTAGCAGATCGACTATAGATAGAGAGATGGCAGATGAAAAAATAGGAAAATATCAGAGAAACAAAACATTACAAAGAAGGGTTACGATCAGGCAAGAGGTAGGACCCGCGTAAATATCGGAGCAGCTTTCCAGCGGTGGAGAGAACTCAAAGAGGCAAGGCAAGTTTATTTATATAGCATATTTCGTACACAATGGTAATTCAAAGTGCTTTACTTTGTTTTTATTTTATTTTATTATTTAAAAGAAAGTAAAATAATCCTAAAAAAAAGGAGTGGGAAGGCCTTGAATCGGATGCAGAGGTTGCGTTGTTTCTTCTTGATATGTGAGTATCGTTGATTTTAATTCGTTTCACACAACTTATCCGTGTTGGCTTTTGTTTGAATATGCTTGTGTGTCATCTTCACTTGTTTCCGCGACTGTCGTTGCCATGGTTGCGTACGTACATGTGGGGCTGAGATTTCAAAATAGGGGCGAGGTCCTGTTGGGGTATGGGCCTGTTTGTTTTGGTGCTTTCAAATATCAACATCGTTTGGCAAAAATCGCTTAGTGCACCTTTAAATCATTTTACATTTGCATTTTTATCATTAACATATTATATTAAATCCATTAGTTATTACATTTTCTATGCAGAAATGTTTTCTTTTAGGGTTAATTATTACAATTAGCTTTATTTAAAAACAACAGAAGTCTGTGATATGTCCTCATTTATATGGCTAGGTAAATGTGTCTGGTTGTGTAGCGTTAATGTTCTCTTACCCATAATGATGCCGTTTGGCTCCGAGGGAGGTTGCCAGACAACCCTGACAGACGTGAGACGCACCTCTGGAAACACCAACCTGACAGGTGGACCAGGAACTGGAGAGAAGAGAGGGAGGGAAAGAGGGAGAGAGGATACATGCATTTAAAACGGATTACTGTAGCATACATTCTGATTTCTTGTAATGTAGCACATATTTCAAACACTTCAAAACATCTGTTTGTGGGGCCAAGCTTTTATCTCGGCCACGATAAATATGACATTTTAATCTCTTCTCACACACACACACAAAGTCTCCCTGTAAACTTCTAATTCCTTAAATCCATAAATTTAAATATTAGTGTTTCATAATCCCTCATCAAACACATTTAACTCTGCCAGTGGACACTAGGCCAACAGCGCTGGTAATCCACTAGTTCTGATATGTGTGTGTGTGTGTGTGTGTGTGTGTGTGTGTAAGTGTGAATCAGTGTGTGTAGAGAACAATCACATAGACATTCCAGTATCTGGTATCCCTGGTATCCCTGTACATTTCCAAATGAATGTTGCTCCATTGAGCTGATTAAGAAAAATGACAGAAAGAGGGCATTTGTCATTCCGCTGGCAAGACTCCACAGTCCACATATGAACACACTCGCTCATTTCAAAGGGAACGATGGCAGCTTACTCCCCCTTGCCGAGGAAATATATTGCATACATGCGAGTACATATTTCTGAGAGAAACTTTCCGAAGGAAATTTTATTGCTCAGAGGTTGCTCTTTCATAGCTCAGGAGACTTAATGAGGTTCCCACTTGGTTGAGTCTCATGAAAACTGTCAGATAATGCCTGTGTCATATTTCACTTCAGATTTAAAAGAAGTCTATTTTTTTCATTATGACATATAGCTTCATGATAACTAAGCACATTTTCCCTCCAAATTCTCATTACCATAATCTGAAAAACATCTCATTCTCATTACTGCAATGCGAAAAATAATGGCATTTAAATTTAATAATATATATATTTTTTAAATATAGAAATACTTAGTGTAGTAAAACTTAATAATATATTTAATTAATAATAAAACAAAATAATATTTAATCCATAGTACTGAACATTCGCTGAACTTTTAATAATTACAAAAAATGAAAATTAAATAAAATAAATGATAAATAATTACAAAACAATTTGTTTATATAATTATAAATACAATGATTAAAAATACAATAATTCTTTTTTATTATTGAATAATTTAAGATATGCTTAATTAAAAAATTTTTTTATATAAAAATGGGTGATTGATTACAACAACATTTTTATTACGGCCTATCACAGTACTGAGAATATAATTATAAATAAAGTAATTGTATATATATTATAATAAATATAGTAATTGCATGTTGAATAATTTAAGTTATGCTTATTATTTTTGTAATTAAAAATGGGTGATTACTGTATTAAAAGTATTCTTTTTATTATTGCTCTTTACAGAACTGAGAATATAATTATAAAAAATAATAAAATAGTCATTTAAAATATACAATCATTTAATTATAAATACAATAAAATAATTAAAATAATTTTAGTAATTGAATAGTAATTTTGAATAATTTAGGTTAAGCTGACAAACAGGAGACACACATGAGACACTGGAGACTTGTTCTCAGGAAAAAAAAATATCTGAAAAGTGTAAGGATTTCGCAAGTCACCCTTTAATGTCATTTCTGTCTGAGAACAGATTGAGATCTCATTAGTGAATTTTGAGTGAGCTGGGATAAGAAAATCGAGCGAGTGAGAGGTGGTTCAGACAGGTGACTCAAGCGAATGCAGTAATGCAGGATGGGGTTTCATGCAGTGGGGGCACCAGGAGGCCAGGTGAGTGTGTGTTTGTCTGTGTCTGGAGCCATGTGGGAGGTAATGCCAGTCTGAATGTCGGGCACAGCTGGAAACCACCAGAGCATGAAGCAAGGCATAACTATGAGCTATCATTATGAATGTGTGTGTGCGCGTTTACCGGTGTGTGAGTGTGTAAAGGAACATCTGCTAAATGGGTAGCTTTCACTCAAAGTCTAATTTTGACCCAATGTGTGTGTGAACATTTATTTTTGCTTTTATTATGCATGTGTGATTTGTCATAACCAGTGGGAACGTGTAAAGAATTAGATGATGCGTTCTGTTCAGTGGGCGATGCATTGATTTTATTGGTTGCTTACCATCATCCTTGGTTCTCTCAGCTGTGGGGGGCAGGCTGGGTGGTCCATCTCCGACACGTGTAAACGCGAGCACCTGAACCTCATACAAGATGAACTTGCTAAGGTTTTTTAAAAGCAGCAAGTGAGTCTGGTTCCCGTTCACCAGCTGGACCTGGGGAGCCCGCTCTGAATCTTTTTCTTTGTACAAGACCTAGAGATAAAAGGAAACAAGGAAATATAGGTCACATAGAAACAGTTTTGATGTGATATTGAGTGTTGGAATGTCCTAAATTCAACAACAACCGTTCAGTGTGTAGTAGTGCTTGCTAATTGCTAATATTCTATACACACTATTCATACTTAAGGTTAGGGATTTAAGCAAACCCCTGGCGGATGCTAAAACAGATCAGAATATTATGGCCACATACACAAAGCAGTTAATTCAGTATTCAATTCGACTTTTAGTGCTTGTTTACAGGAGTGACAACTGTTTTCTACAATGAAATGAATTGCTGAAAAATTTAGACAGTGACAACCTCATTTACAAAACTTTTATGCAACGTGCAGGGAACCAAACTGAACAACTAGCTGTTAATGACTTATTTAAACACATATCAGAGTTGTATCTCTTTCCTGCATGCACAGTGAAAGAAGTCACAGGGAATGTGGTACATTTGAACTCAGTAGTGCTGCCAGATCTTGCTATAAAAAAAGAGCAAATAAAAGCAAGTCTGTAATAAACTTAAATCCAAAGGTATTATCTGGGAAATAAACCACATACCAATATATCACAACTTGCACCTGCCTACTTTATTAACTCTATTAACTGGATCCGTTTATGAGCCAAGCCTAAAGATGCTTAATAAGTGTCTCTTATAATAAGTGGACCTTCCAAAAATACATAAAACACAGCGGCTCTGTCAACGGTGGTTTAGTTAAAATCATCAAACTAACAAGTCTTTGGTAATATTACTTTGGTTAAAAATAGCAGATACCAAATGTCATAACATGTCATGCACTTTCTTACAGTAACCATAGTGTCAATCATCACAATTTTAAGTGTGAGTTAATGATAATTTAGGGGATTTGCTCCCATATTTAAATGTGATTGTCACTCCTGAAACTTTACAGTGTGTATGTGGCAATAAAGACGTCGAGATGAGCTCTTTTGATTTTGGGGAAGTACGCAACCACACAGCAACAGCTCACAACACTTGAGCATCTTTTGCACATGCAAACATCCCTGTTTCTTCAGATAAAAACTACGATAAAAATCAAGTTCAAGTTTTGCCTCAACTTAGGTCCTGACTTTAGAAGAGATCAATAATTAATTGTGTTATTTCATTTCCCCCCCACTTTTTACAGTCTAAGCATTTTATCAATTGGCTTCTTCCGACAGTGTGTAAAAGGAAAAACTGTTTCAGCAGTTTCATAATCTTGCATCATGTCACTCTACACAGCCTAAGCAGAAAATGAAGAAAGCCTTATACAAGCAACAGTGCACATGGGTTTCAATATCGTCATACAGTTTATAGATGTGCTCAAAATGAACTCAATACGAACTATGTTCGGCTGAATGTATGCGCATTAAAGCATGTGGAAGAACTTTTGTAGATGTGCATATCAAGAGCTCTTTGTGGTATAAAGTGCCTTTGGTGGATGATACAAGCATTACATTAGATGTGTAGAAGTGTACTGCATACGCTTTTTTGCTACAGTGCTTAAGAATGGTTCTGCTATGTGGTTGTTAGGCTGTTCTGGATGGTTTCTTACTTTCCCACATCAAAAGAGTCCACCTCCAAATATCTGCATGGGGATATGGCTCAGGTTCCTCCTCCTTCTACTTATTCTTTTTTACACTTGTGAAATGTAGGACAGGGACTTGGCACCACCCATCGATTGTTGATTGGATGAGAGCAAATCTGAATGCAAGCTTGCTGTCTATTTTGGATGAGCGGGGTTTAAGCAGACTAAATTACTGGAGAAGTCTGGCATACGTCACCAGAAAGATGTCTGTTCTTTTGCCAGAAGATTGGGTTTTGACATTTTGATGAAACATTACAAGGTCAAAATATTGTGAAAAGATGAAATAATCCATGAAATATATATGAATCATTCACATAAGGTCTATAACATGCATTTACAAAATAAGGCGAATTTTCATTTCATACCAACTTTAAACATGTCTGCAAACTCTACTGGTGGGAAAAAAAAATGCAAATTTTTTGAAACAACACCAATATCTATAGTAACATATTAAACGTGTATAAAAGATTTGAGAAAAAAAAAAAGATAAACTTGCAATTTCAGCCTAATAAATGATGCAGTGTGTTGTAGATAATTGGTCTCAATGAAAATAGTTAATTAGTGAAAATACTAATTCACTCTCTGACAGTCTGACCAAAAATGACAGGTTTGCAGGTATGTTAAAAGGAATACTGCACCCAAAAATGAAAATTCTGTCATCATTAAGATGAAGTTGTCAGGTTTTAAAAATATTGGACCCCACTGACTTTCACTATATAAACAAAAAAACACTGAGCAAGCAAATAGCTTTGTTTGTTGAAACGTTCATTAAAATATCTTCCCAAGCACTGCTAATAAAATAATTCCAGTCAGACGTCTCCATATACAGTAGAAATTCACCCTTCTGCAGTGTTTTGGCAGGCAGGACTCTCCAGTCAAAGCTGTGGGGGATTTTAAAGGTCTTAAAGCATTCTCTTTGATATAGTAACCGTACCTTGTAACCAAGGATGTGTCCATTCTTCTGGTGTTCAGGGACCGAACCCCAGGTGACCAATATACTCGTGGAGCTCATTGCTTCTGCGCTCACATTTTCTGGGGCACCAGAGGGAACTGAAAACACACCCATATAAATAGCCATTTTATACTAAAGCAAAAACCTACTCAAGGCCATGTGTTAGAGTGATTTTGCAACACTTAAAGGCTGTTTTTCATCCTATTGGAACAATAAAAAGATAAAAGACTCCAATTATCATTAATAATAATATGAACAAACAATTCCACCAAGTGATACAGCTCATTAGCCTAAGGCTGATGACTTACCAGCCGACTCTGAACAATTTATTTCGGTCAGGGATTCACATCTACTCAGTATTTTTGCTGAAATCTCACTTCTTTCTATTGGAGTCTGTCACATGTACTGATTAAAAACGGAAAAGAGGGCTGACAGCTTAAACAACAGCCTCTGACATTTCTTTCTGATTCGCTGTCATGTGAAGCTCGCCAAATTAAGAACAGGAGAACGGTGTGAGCATAAACACTTGTAATGGACTGATTTAAGATACAATTTGAAAGGGTAACTTTACCCCGTGAATGTGTGTGATGTGTATTTGTTCATTCAGGGCTTGCCGGCATATGTTCATGCGCAGCTGCAGTGAGAAAGATTTTCATTTGCTAAACGAAGTGACAAAGGCACTTTCTTATTCTTTTAGTTATTTAGGTGTAGGAGTCCAGCAAATTGTGTTTTAGTGTTTCCTAAGGAAAATGATCCGAGCAAGTTTGTCAGTTCTTCAGTTTGATAAAAAGTTAAAGGAATTGTTCACCCAAAAATATTGTTCCAGACCCGAAAAGACCTTTGGTCATCTTCAGAACACAAAGTGAGGTATGTTTGATGAAATCTGAGAGCTTTCTGGTCCTGCATAGACAGCAACACAATTACTACGTTCAAGGCCCAGAAAGGTAGTAAGGACATTGTTAAAATAGTCCATGTGACATCAGTGGTTCAACTGTAATTTTATGAATTACAATGAAGCTACAAGAATAAAGAAAACAAAAATAATGACTTGAATATGGTAGTTGCGTTGCTGTCTATGCAGGGTCAGAAAGCTCTTGGATATCTTCAAAAAATATCTTAATTTGTGTTCCGAAGATGAACAAAGGTCTTACGGGTTTGAAACCTCATAGGGTTTCAAAAGTGTAATTTCCAGAACTGGAAAAGTTTCGAAAACATATGAAATCCACAAATGTCATGAAAAAGTTGTGGAAATTTCTATAGTCAATGTAATTTTCTCTAGGTACACTACTGTTCAAAAGTTTGAGGTTAGTACAATATTCTGCATAGACAGCAACACAATTACTACGTTCAAGGCCCAGAAAGGTAGTAAGGACATTGTTAAAATAGTCCATGTGACATCAGTGGTTCAACTGTAATTTTATGAATTACAATGAAGCTACAAGAATAAAGAAAACAAAAATAATGACTTGAATATGGTAGTTGCGTTGCTGTCTATGCAGGGTCAGAAAGCTCTTGGATTTCTTCAAAAAATATCTTAATTTGTGTTCCGAAGATGAACAAAGGTCTTACGGGTTTGAAACCTCATAGGGTTTCAAAAGTGTAATTTCCAGAACTGGAAAAGTTTCGAAAACATCAAATCCACAAATGTCATGAAAAAGTTGTGGAAATTTCTATAGTCAATGTAATTTTCTCTAGGTACACTACTGTTCAAAATTTTGAGGTTAGTACAATATTTAAAATAATAATAATAATAATTCATTTTATTTATAGGCACCTTTCATGGCACTCAAGGTCACCTTACAAGTAATGCTAAAAACCATACAACTATAATCCATACAATAAAATAAATTAGAACATTCATAAACATTGATCCACATATATGCAGTCAAAAGTAAGAGTTTTAAGACGAGATTTAAAATTGTGAAAAATATCGCTATTGCGAATGTCCTGGGGAAGAGCATTCCACAAAGAAGGGGCAGTATAACTAAAGGCCCTCGACCCCATACTGCTCAAATTAATACGTGGTTGAATCAGAAAAACAGATGAAGAGGTTCTCAGGGTGCGTGCAGGAGTGTAAATTTGGAGAAGATCAGAAAGATAAGAAGGAGCGAGATTATTTAAGAGTTTTGTAAGTACGAAGCAAAATTTTGAAATTTATATATTTGACCGGGGGCCAGTGCAAATGGCAAAGAACTGGGGATATATGCTCTACGAGAGGGGTTCTAGAAATAATTCGTGCTGCTGAGTTCTGTACCAACTGCAGCTTATGTAGGAGTTTTGAAGGGAGACCAAAAAGTAAAGAACTACAGTAATCTAAATATGACGAAACCAAGGAATGTACAAGAATAGCAGTGGTTAAAATTTTTTTTTTTTAAAAAATAATTTTAAAAAAAAAAAAAAAAAAAAAAAATCTCATGCTCATTGGGACTGCACTTATTTGATCAAAAATACAGCAAAAACAGCAACACAGTAAAAAATTAAATAAATAGTTTTCTGTTTCAATATATTTTTAAATGTAATCCATTGCTGTGATTGCAAAGCTGAATTTTCAGCATCATTACTTCAGTCTTCAGTGTCACATGATCCTTTAGATATCATTCAAATATGCTCATATTTGTTGCTCAACTAGCTTTTATATTTATATATAAAAATATATATTTTACTTTTGATCAGTTTAATGCAAATCAATTCATAAATAGTATCAATTTCCTTAAAAAAAACTACAAAAAAAACCCAACAAATACTGACCCCTAACTTCTGAACAGTAGTGTATGCTCAGTTCTAGTTTATGAGTGTGATCTCTAAAATTAAACCAAAATCATCAGGAAAATTCATGGAGAATCAAATTGAAATCTGTAAGTGGTCACCGCCAAGGCCACAAGTGCCCGCCCCACCAGCTGCCTCTGATCATTTCAAACTTTCTAGATGTTGTCTAGGGGTCGGCAGGATCATTAACTCAGCAGGGAGTCGCTGGAGCTGCTAACACCCACCCGCTGTTAGATGTGGCCTCGGGCACAGACTCCATCTGAGTCTCCAACGGCTATGTAAATGATGCCTATGACTAAAAATCGGCTAGAGGGGCGCTGGCTAAACTGTGTCTGTTTAGAATTGCTAAGGAATGCAGCAACTCATGGCATTAATCTAAAAATGAACTGACATATCTTTACAAGTATATCTGTCCTATACTTTAAGCTATCTGTCTTATAACACTCAAATAAAATGAAAAATGATCAAAATGGAAATGTGACCGTAATGCATTAACACAACGATGCTTAAATGAACATAATTCATTTGGTTACATATTAAACAGCAACTAAGTTTTATTTATTTTCCTCACATGCATGACATTAAACTTTGAAACAAACTTCATTTATCATTTATTTTGATTGTTACTTTTTTTTTTTTAAATCAAAAGTGGAGAAGCTACTTCTAAAGTAAGCATGTTTTATGGAAAATGTTGTCACCTGACTCTTTAGTTTTGCCCAGCACAGGACTGCTCCAGGGTCCAGGCCCGATGCCATTGAAGGCCTGAATGCTGAGCTCGTACTCCGTCCACTCCTCAAGTCCCTCCACCGTCGCTTCCCGAGACAAGCGCTCAGAAACTGTCACCATCCGGGGCTGCCCAAGCCCGTCTGCTCTCTGTGCACGTACACGGTAACCCACGCTTTCAGGATTTCCATTATAAGCTGCCTCTGGAAGTGGCTACAAAACATGAAGAGGAAAAACATTGGAGCAGGACAGACTTTGATAAACCTACATAAAAATAAGAAGACCAAATCTGAACTGGACTTTCATTGCATTAGATAGCAAAAAATAGAAATAGATCTCCAGCACATATTTTAAATAAAACATTTCCCCAAAACAATACTGATTTACTGTAAGTTATTTAAAAAATCCATAAATATATAAACATATATTTTGTTTTCTAATGTAATGAAATTAAATTAGATACAATACTGTTCAAAAGTCTGGGGTCAGTAACATTCTTTTTTTTTTTTTTTAAAGAAAGAAAGAAATAAACTATTATTTTATTTGGTAATAACCCAGGAAATTGATAACGTGTCAATAAAAATGTTTATATAGTTACTAAAGATTTCTATTTCAAATAAATGCTGCTCTTTCTATTTACCAAAGAACGCATCATGGTTTCCACAAAACATTAAATAGCACAACAATTAAATTAAAAAATGATAGTAATAAGAGACGTTTCTTGAGCACCAAATCAGCAAATTAGAATGATTTCTGAAGGATCATGTGAAACTGAAGACCAGAGTAATGGTGCTGAAAATTCAGCTTTGCCATCACAGGAATAAGGGACATTTTAAAATACATTCAAATAGAAAACAGTTATTTTAAATTGTAACAATATTTCACAATATTACTGTTTTTCCTGTATTTGTTATTAAATAAATGCAGCCTTGTTGAGCATAAAAGACTTCTTCAAAAACATCCTACCGACCCCAAATTTTTGAACAGTATTTTATTAAAAAAATGTAATAAAATTTTAAAAACTAAAAACTTTAGTTGTCCAAACACATTTCGGCCAATTATAATGGAATAGTACTGAAATTTAAAGGTGCAATAGGTGATTGTCTTCAGAAACATTTTTTGTTATGCTGGTTGAAAGTCTCTTCACATCCCAATAGCAATCATTAAGTTCAGTGGTCTAAATGTATTTATCTGTATTCATATATTCTGTGGTAGGCGTAGGACCAAGAAATGTTCGTCCAATCAAAATGCTCGGTCTGAGCGTTTTAATTCGCTTTCCTACCTGCCTGTCAACTTATGTATTAGCATATCTCTGGGCACCCAGTTCGCGCAGACAGGATACGTCATCAGCGTGTTACGCACGCTGTGCAGACAGAGTGAGAATAGCAGACAAACATCAACAACCCCATCTTCCTTTCTGGTATTGTAGTACTTTTAAAGTTTTCTCACCGGTGAATGACACATGATGTATTTGACACAGTGTTTTGCATGTCTCGCTTAGTTAACACACCCGATTCAGATAACCAGCTCGTTAGAAGTGAGCTACGTGCATGAACTGTGTTCCGATCGATATGATCCCTACACAGTGTTCATTGCTCCCTACTCTCTGAGCAGGGGAAATCTGTTTAAGTTTACTTCACTTCGGAACATTCATTCACAGATTTGCGCTGCACAGCGTCTTCATACACAGACGAAACTTACTAGAGAAGTGTGAAGTGTGACATAATATACCTCTGTAAATAAATACTATTTACTCCTGACTGGAATTGGGAACCGCTGATGTAGCCTATTGTAGTAATGTTGTCTCTGGTATTCTGTCCTGTGAGCGTATATGCATTCAGGGGGCGTGGCTTTGGACGGCGATTGCAGGGAGGGTGGGACGTTCGCTATCAGTGCTATCAGGCTAAAGTTAGCATTTTCCAAGATCTCCTACTGCACCTTTAAGGGCTGAAAATGTTTAGCTAATTTTCTGCACGCTGATCTTACTCAACAGGAACTAGAAATAAATGTTTCATGACTCATCCCGGTGGCTAAGTTCTACGATGATCTGGATGAATGAAAACCTTCACAAGCGTCAAATTGTGTACAGCAAACAGAAAGGAAGTTATTTAATCTCCTCATAAACATAAATTAAATTACATTTCAAATTGGCTGTAATGCAGCTCCCTCGCCTGCTTCAGCTGTGCATTGCACATTGGCACACGGCTCAGAGACATTTTCCAGCGTCGGATGCCATGAGTTCGCACATGGTTGCTTGCCTAGTACTTTAATGCACACTCGAAACCTTACAATGTTCACAGCTTTAGTACGTTGACTGCTTGAAAGTGTTTCTATTAAAATGCTTTTGGCGAGCTGACGGATGCTGATGTAAGTTTCTTCACAGGCATGGGCCAAATCAATGTTTCAGTCTTTATGGTCTCCACAATAAGCTGCTAATCTTTAGTTGCTTGTAATATCATGTTTTGATATATGATTGATATAAAAAAAAAAACTCTAAAAACTATTTTGTCTATATTCATTTGAGTTTTTGTCCACCTACAACATGTGACAAGCTTGTTTCACTTTGGTTTCTTTTCAATTTGGTTACTAGTGGCTAGTGAATAAAATACTATGGTGTTATTTTTGTCTTTTTTATTCAATCAAACATAATGTGCTTGAGAACAAAACTAATTATAGTGTAATTAAAAAAATTAAATAATGCAAATAAAAACAATTAAAAAAAAAGTTATTTTTTTAATTACAATAGAATTTTTTTCTCTCAAACACAGTATGTTTGATTGAATAAAAAAGACACAAAAGTAAATCCATACAACACCAGAATGGTTTAGTAAATGAAAACTAGTAAGTGTTTTCTAAATACTTCTGAAGCTCAAAGTATTTCCACAGCAACTCTCCTCATTAAAGACATTAACACTTAAGAAACTTGGGTTGCTTGGTAAATGACAGAAGAGTGGTAAAAAATATAACCTTTTCTTCAGTGCTACATAGAAGCTTTAGTACGAGCGTAATAAATGACTATCCATAAAAAGGGGTTAGAGGTTACTGTTTTCGTTTTCAGCGCTTGTGAAGTACTGCATTAAGCACTATTATGTCCTGAGGGTCATTTTTCAGCACCAGCACCCCACAAATGTGTTACAACGACCAGCGGAGGCTTTGCAGAAGCCATTTTTTAGATTAAATGGAGTCCTGTCTTATGAAATGACAGCCTTCATGTTATGTGCCTCTACAACTCAAATTCTTCGATCGCTCTTCAGGCTTTGAAAAGGTGAGAGGGGAAAAAAGGAGAACTGAAGGAGAAAATAACAGCAATTACATCTGATACTGACAGACACTATGGCTCCTGATAGCAAAAAACAGACAGGAAAAATAAGCTGTCAACCTCTTCCAGTATATCCCTCACCTATAAAGCGTGCGCACAGATGCGCAACCAACAGTATTTGTGTCCATCTCTGCGCGTGTTTGAGTATGCGTAAATCGATGGATTTTTATGAGGGCTCCAGGTTTTATAATAACGTTCACACCAAATCCAGAACCACACCCTTTTGACGCAACAAAATAAACTTTTAAGTGCTTTGGTTCTTATAAATGGCATATGTTATTTGGGGGAATATATAGGGAAAAATACTACAATTTAATAATATAATATAAATTAATAAATCAAAACTTTTATGAAATTGATACAAATGAATATTAATATATAGTACTGTATATATTATATATACATTTTTATAATGAATGTTTTTTTTTCTGATGATAATCATATATGGTTTTATAAATTTTATAGAAAATTCAAAAACTACTAAAAAAAATCTTAATGCCGAATGTATGTCTGCTGTGTACTTCTTCAAAAAAAAAAAGGCATTAGAGTTGTTTATTACAAATTGTTCATTTTAATAAATTGATTCAAAACTCAGTTTACCAATTTGTTTGTGTCATCAAAGAATTCCTGCATGGCATTTTAAATGTATTAAAATGTTTTAATTAAAAACTCAACGTGGATATTTTGCCACATTTTTGCAATGTTATGTAGCAATGTGCATATAAATGAAAATAATTCAATATTGTAAAAATATTAAATATTCCTTTAGTGAAAAGTATGGAAAAGTATGGATAGTAAACCTTTTTATTATTTTTAATAAGAGTTTTTTTTATTATTATTTTATATTTTAGATCCTGCATTAAACTGTTTTGATGCTTGGTCAAAATGATGGTTCACTCAGTTTGGGGTGTATATAAATATACATTTTATATTTTAAAATGTTATTTATAACTGTGATGGCTTGTTTGTTTGTGTTTATCATCATGCCAGCTTCTGTGGCTATTTTCAGCAGCCAAGTGTCAAGAGTGTCTATTTAGTGTTAGAGTGTCTTTGCTAAAGAAGAAAGTATAAATTTCTTTCTTTCTTTCTTTCAAAAAAAAAAAAAAATGACTGACCCAAACTTTTTAACAGTATAGTGCAGAACACAAAGTCACATTTACATGAAAACTAGGGCTGTCATCGTTAACGCATGCGATTCATTTTACAATCCTTAACGCGTTAAAATAATTTAACACAATTAATGCAATATTACTAAAGCGCAATTTCTATTCTAACCCTTTAGCCCAATTTTGCTTCTCTGCTTGCGATCAGATCATTTTAAATCTCCATGTGGTCCTGTTCAGTTTCGCAACTTGTCTTCTCTAAAATGTAAAAAAGCTCTTTGCTGTTGCACTGTACACATACTATAAAATTCAGATTTTTTTTTCTTTCATATGTGCTTATATGGGCTCCTTATATCTTTTGGTTCTTTGGTGTCCTTTTGGAGTTTCTAAGTGTCCTTTTTTGGAAAGACATCTAAATTTATCTTGAAAAAAGCTTGCAGAAAATATAGATTTTTGAGAATCACCCTTCAATCTTTTGGTTTACTTTGCTGGATATAGCAAATGATGACAAAAACATTTGAAACAAGATAAATGGTCTATGCTTAACTTCATGACGTGTGCGATTAATCGCGATTAATCACAGAAAAAGGATGTGATTAATTAGATTAAAACTTTGAATCGAATGACAGCCCTAATGAAAACCTTTATTTGGTGTGGACTGTGTGTGTGTGTGTGTCTGCTCCTCACCTCCCAGCGAATCCTCAGGCTGGTTTCACTAGCAGAAAACACTGTGAGATTTGTTGGGGCCACATCTGGATTGGACTGCAGGGTCTGCATCACACAAGAAGGCTGACTGAAGGGACTCGAACCCACAATGTTCACCTGCTTCATCCTGAACCTGAAAGGAATATATAAGTGGAGAGAGACAAAAACAGCATTTTTAATTCTCCGATCTTGCTCTTGAGTAGCGGGAGGACGGGGGATTTTGGACAGGATAACAGATCTCTACAGCTGTAATCCCTTTAGGACAAGATAGTGTGCCGAGAATCAGAAGACAATCTTTCCACAGGACCTTCAGAAAATCAATTAAAAAGAGAAATAGGAAAGGGGAATGAGAGAAGGAAAGAGAAAATGAAGAATAAATGAAACAGAAAAAAAGATAGCTGGAGATACATAACGCAGGGAGAGCTGGGAGTATAATGAGTGCTTAGTCAACATTGAAAGGTCATAAACAGCTGAAATTACTCAGAAACCCAGCTAAAAACACCAAAACACTCAACAGGTTTGTGAAGGTACTTTCACACTATTGGGCTCGTATGTCACCACATTTTAGTTCATTAGGTTGATGTGAAAGTGGTTTTTCATTCAGCAAAGGAGCGAAAGGCTCACCTGTATTGAGTAAATGGGATGATATTGGGAATCTCCAGAGTGTCTGAGGCTGGTGGACTGTCCATCTCGTACAGAACCTTCCATTCCTCGTCCTCACCCACAGTCCCCACCTGTGGACACACAGGATGATTTTCATTTAAAAAGCTATTTAAAAGTACACACATAAAAAAAATATCCAGTATGACAACCATTTCAAACTGTAGTATGCTTCACTGCAGTCAAAGGACCTCACTGTGTTGCATGTTTATATCAGCAAGAGACATAAATAGGGTGCATTGTTGTTGCACTTTTTCCAGCAGTACAGAAATGACAAAGAAACAGCATTATTTTATGATAAATGCTTCAAACCATAATAAATGTTGCTGCATCAATCAAGTTAGAAAAAAATGGTCGTTTTGAACTTTTAATGCAATTTTATCTACAAATGCCCAATTAAATAAATAGCTAAAAAAGTTTTATTTTATTATTATATATATATATATATATATATATTTATTTATTTTTTATCAGGTGCACTGGAAAGGGACGTATTGTAATTTTAATGTACAATTAATGTATTATTAAACAACAATAGTAATACGTTTTTTCATTGTT